TTTGTTTTGAGGCGGTTGGTTGATTTGTTTCCGTTGCTCAGAGCAAAAGCCAAGAGGCGTGTGGCCCCGTGCACATGATGTGACGGGAGCATCCGTGGGGACATCGGGATGTGGGGATGTGGAGGGATAAGGGGGATGTGGGGTTATGTGTTGGGGTGCAGGGAGCCACAAACACTCCTGCAGTGATGCCCGGCCCCTGCAGACCTCCGCGATGCTGGAGCCGGGCTGGCACGGGGTGGCAGTGGCACAGCCACCGAGGGAGGGGTGTGCATCCGTGTTAGGAAGACTGTGGCATGGAGCGTCCTGGCTTTGTGCTGGACCCCGGCGCACGTTGGGGCTGATCCTGCAAAGCCCCCCCAGCTCCCCAGGGTGGTCCCTCACCTGGGATGTTCCCCCCCACCCCGTCTCCATGTCTCCTGCCGCTGCAGAGCGCATCACGCAGACGGTGGAGATCACCAAGCACGTGGTGGACATCGAGGAGAAGGGTGTCAAACTGCGCCTCACCATCGTGGACACACCAGGCTTCGGCGACGCCGTCAACAACACCGAGTGGTGTGTCCCGTGGAGGGGGGGGGGTAGCAGGGTCTCCCTGGGGCCAGGCAGTGCTGCCATGGGTGCCAGCAGCTCCGAGGGTGGCATGTCCATGGCTCCTCGGGGTGGAATGCTGAGCCGTGGGAGGTGTCGAGCTGAGGATCCAGGGAAAGCCCAGGGGTCCTGCGGGGGACTCAGAAGGTGACCTCCCTGTCCCCGCAGCTGGAAGCCAGTTGCCGACTACATTGACCAGCAGTTCGAGCAGTATTTCCGAGATGAAAGTGGCCTCAACCGGAAAAACATCCAGGACAACCGTGTCCACTGCTGCATCTACTTCATCTCGCCCTTTGGCCACGGGTAGGTGCCTGCGCTGCTGGGGTAGGGGGTGATGGGGAAGGGGCTTGGTGGGATGGTGCTCACCAGGCTTCTCCTGCAGGCTCCGGCCCCTGGACGTGGAGTTCATGAGAGCCCTGCACCAGCGGGTGAACATTGTGCCTGTGCTGGCCAAGGCTGACACCCTGACCCCTGCCGAGGTGGCGCGCATGAAGAACAAGGTGAGGGAAGATCTGCCCAGACTGGAACCATCCCAGCAGATCTCTGGGGATGGGGGTGCCCTGGGGGCTGGGGTCCCTACTCAGCTGGAGAGTCTCTCCATCCTCTGCTTGGACTTTGCCATGGAGCATCCTCCCTGCTTGCAGCACTGCAGAGGACCATGTTGCCCACATGGCCACCAAGGACACACCTCCCTGGTGCTCAGCTGGGAGCTGGAGGGGATGCCCATGACATCTAGTCTAGGAGTGACAGGTTTTTGTGGGTTCTTGGGGGACACCAGTGGTGTGTGGCGCTTCCCCTGCTCCTTCCTGAGGACCAGAGCCCTGCCCTCAGCAGAGCTGTCTGCCTCCAGATCCGGGAGGAGATCGACCACTACGGCATCCGCATCTACCAGTTCCCTGAGTGCGACTCAGACGAGGATGAAGAGTTCAAGCTGCAGGACCAGGCACTGAAGGTGGGTCTGGCTCCTCCAACTCCATCCTTGAAGGGACAGAGCCCCCCATGGCCAGGAGGACATGTCATCCTGGGGTACCCTTAGGGCTCTTTGGGGCCATGCAAGCTCTCCAGCAGCCCCAGCATGGTGGAGTTGGCATGTATGGGTGCCAGCCACACGATTGGGGTATGGCTACCTGGATGTGTCACCAAGACCCCACAGGTGTCACCTGCAGCTCGGTGGGATGGGGCTGGGTAAAGAAACTCATGCCATGACTGCTGCTGTCCCACCTGGGGCTCTCCGTAGCTGGGGCTCTGGGATATCTTTGCAAGCGGGTGCTGGATATGGCTGAGGAGATGCATGTGGAGGGGTGTGGGCCATGGCGGACAGGACCAAGCCCTGCTAACCCCTGCCATGCGCTTGCAGGAGAGCATCCCCTTCGCTGTCATCGGCAGCAACATGGTCGTGGAGGCCAAAGGCCGGCGCGTCCGTGGGCGCCTCTACCCATGGGGCATTGTGGAAGGTAACACTGGGCTGTGTCCCCGGCGTCCCGCTTTTCGGGGCAGGGACATTGCGTGCCCCATTTCTATGTTGCTCAGTCCCAGGGAGTCTGGGGGGAACGGGGGGGACTGGCTGTGGCCTCCTGACCTCGGGCTCCCCCGCAGTGGAGAACCCATCCCACTCCGACTTCGTGAAGCTGCGGACGATGCTGGTGAGGACCCACATGCAGGACCTCAAGGACGTGACACGGGAGATCCACTACGAGAACTACCGGACGCAGTGCATCCAGAGCATGACCCGCATGGTGGTGAAGGAGAGGAACCGCAAGTACGGGGCTGGGAGTGGG